GGGGTGGGCAGGCTCCCTGGAGGAAGCGATGCTGGACCAAGAATTTAGAAGAAAGGACAGGCATTTGCCAGGTGGCCAGGTTAGAAGGGTACCACATCAGAGGGCACATCGCAGAAAGGAAGGCACCGAGGCCCGAGGCAGTGGGGTGTTTTCCAGGCACCACAACTGGCCATGTCGCTGGGAGATAAAGGGATGGTGTACTTTTGTAAGATGAGGCTGAATTGACAGGTGTGGAGGTGGGGTACAAGATTACACTGTAGGGAAGAACTGGGGACTTTATCCTAAGGGTAGAGGGAAGCCCTGGGGAGCTTTTAAGCAGGGGTGTGATAAAGTTGGATTTGCCTTCTTTTTTTTCCCTCCAATTTCACACTGAATCTTTTTTTAATTGAAGTATAGTTGGTTTACAACGTTGTGTTAATTTCTGGTGTATAGCACAGTGATTCAGTTGTGTGTGTGTGTGTATGTACCTTTTCATATCCTTTTTTATTATAGGATATTGACTATAGTTCCCTGTGCTATACCAAGGACCTTGTTGTTTATCTTGCATCCTTGATAAATCGAGGTGGGGAGGGGTTTGAGCAAAACTGGGAACCCCAAGTCAGTGGGAAGCTGATGCTAATTCATCCTTGTGAGAATGAAAGGCCCAAAATAAACAAGTTCCAGCAAAGATGAGAGAGACAACATTACAACGATGTTACGGAGATAAAATACACACAGGACTTGAGTAAATATTTTAGACTATAAAAGAGCCATAGTTGTCGGGGATGTATCTTGGGTTGGTATCTTGTCCAGTTTTCATAAAGGGATGCACGTTCACTGCATAACACTTGATGGGATTAATGAGATGGCCCATCAGGTTCCGAGACTCTCTGGACCAGTAGGTAACTGTTCCATAAACTGAAGCTCCGTCACTGTCACAGCATTCACAAACTCAGCCTTTGTCTGTTGCTCCATAAGTATTTTGGGACGTTGACCATCTGTTTTGGGCTTTTTCTTCGTCTTTTGATGGGGCGGGGACTTGTACTTGACCTCATATGCGTTTCTGCTCTAAAATCTTCCTTATGTCATGTATCTTCCTTAGTCTTTTTGCTCCGGTGTGTTCTGTGTTGTGCCAGGTTTCGTAGGTTACAGAAACAGAACTATGACTTCTGGCTCTGACCAACTAGTTTTGTTGGAGAAACTGCCTTGTGGCACTATTACTGAAAGTAAGTAATGTGTAAGAGCTGACTTGTTTATGGTACAGCCATTCTCCGCTCTCATGATGTTTGGAGAGACAGTAAACCAATAAACAAGTATATTGTCTACTACATGGTAGTAAATGTTACAAAGGTCAACAAAGCAGAGGAGTGTGTGTGTTGAGGGTCTGATTAACTATTTTGTGTGGTGTAACAAGAGAAGCCCCCCTTAACTGAATGAATGAAATTTGACCAGAGACCGAAGAAGTGAGAGCAAGTGAACCATATGGTCTATGTAATGTAGGAATGTGGGGAAAGGCTTTCCAGGCAGAGGGAACAGCAAGTGCAAAGGCCCTGGGGTGGGAACAACTGAGCTGGTTTGAGGAGCAGTGTGAGAGGGGAAAGGCGAGTCCCCTGGTGGAGGGAGGGGCCTTAGAAGCCATTATCAGGGCTTTGGCTTTTCCTCTGAGTGAGACATCAAGCCATTGGAGTGTGTGAGTAGAGGTGTTGTATGATTTGACCTGCGTTTTAGAATTGTCACTCTGTTGTGTAAAGATTACAGGATAAAGAGGCAGGGCAGAAGAAGGGAGACTGGCTGGGAGGCAGCTGCCGTCGTCCTGGTCAGTGATGCTGTGGTGGTGAGGAGCACTGAGATACGGTGGCATTTGCCACATATATCTCGACATATTCCATTTACTGAGATGGAAAGACTACGTGAGACATGGATGGAAGAAGTCTGGAATTCGGTTTTGTTCCCGTTAACCTGAAGATGCATGTTAGGACATCAAAGAGGAGGTGTCAAGAAGGTAGTTGGATAGGGGAGTCTGGAGTTCAGAAGGCAGGACTGGGCCGAAGGTATACAGGTGGTATTTAAAAGCCACAGGTTGGCTGCGATGAGCAAGTCAGACAGAGGCGATGACTAGATTGGACAGAGATGACCGAGCTTTAGGGCACTTGGGGTCTAGAGGTCAAGGAGATGAGGAGAAACCAATGAAGGGGACTGAGACGAGGACTGGGGAGGTGGGCAGAAAACCAGGAGAATGTGGTGTCCCAGAAGCCAAAGGAATAAACTGCTGTGACCCGATGCTGAATGACAGCTGAGGCGGACCAGGGTTCAGGTGATGCAGGAGACGGGGCCAGTCCGTCCCGTTCATGTTTTTACTTTCCATGAGATACTTTTTGCTGCAGGACTTAAGTGAGTTCTAAGCATTTCACTGTGTGGCTAACCATGAAAGTCGTTCGGGATAATTTCCATAAGTCAGTCATTTCTGATAGCAGTTTCTGTTTAGGATTGGCATGAATTTTTATAACGAGTGGCAGTATTCATCTTGGAACGCCGTTAAGTCTTCGTTAAAGCGTTTTCTTCACCACCTCCGTCCCTCAAGTTGTTTGTTCGTCTGCTCATTCATTCCAAAACGGACTAATTACCAACACCCCAAAATACTGAGGAAGCGCCTGTCGCATGCTAACCCCAGGTTTTCCTGAAGGACCGCGCCTTTCTCGGGACGCTCGGCCTCAGCCTCCCCGCAGCGGGGATTTTCCAGGCCGGTGTCCAGCTGCAGTTCGCGGCGTCCGCCCCTAGAGGCAGGAAGTCGGGCAGCGGGCGCGTCCCTCCCCCGCCTGGGAGGGACCCCTCGGATGCTCAGGGACGACATGCAAATCAGGTGGGCCGGCGGTATGCAGATGAGGTGGGTGGGCGGTATGCAGATACGCAGGCCGTGTTGGGCCGGCTGGCCGCCCGAGCCGAGGTGGGCGGGCCCGCGAGGGGCGGTATGCAG